TTTCATGTTTCTTTAAGATTTTTTGTTATTTTTCTTTGAAATTAGTTTAGGACTTCTTTGTGTTTCTTTTATAACTTCTTTTAAATTTATGTTGAATGGATCAAAGAAATTTATACAACTTGATATGCATTAAAGAAAATTTGATATTTACATGGAAATTAAACTCATCTATAAGTTTATAAAAAAAATATTACAATTTAATTTAAAAATTACTTGAAATCATAAAAATCATTATTGATCCTCAAATCAATTTCTAAGATTTGAATCCCTTTGAATTTTAATAATATTTGGTATAACTATTTGATTAAGCTTAAAATTACATCATGTATCTAAAAAAAATCAGATTTCAAATCTACAAATTTCTATTTATTAATTTGCTACAAAACTCACAAATACTCCAAAATACAAAAATTCTTTTATTATACAAAAAATAGAGTCACTAAAACAACCTTTGCTTTGTAAAGCTCTTACAAAATTATAATCCACTAAAACTATCTAAAATCAATGGCTAAAAAAAAACTTCTAAAGTTTATTCTCCAAATTTGTTCTCTGATAAAATAAAATAAAAAATATCTCACATATTTTTCTCTAAATCCATGGAAGTTGATAGAATAAGACCACATCAACTACCATGCATTTAGAGAAAAATATATCTTTTAAGTACTTGTATTAAGTGTTTTGATTGTAGGTGCATGTGAGTTAAGTTTGACTAGGTTTTTTGTACTTATGAAATTATTCACATAAAGCTCAAGAAAAAAAAGTAACCAAAATAGAATTTGATTTTGAATAATCGAAGTTTAGCATATTTTACAAATCATAGAATATTCAATAAGGTAGTATATAAAAGACCAACCATAGCAATGCAAATGCATTTAAGTAATATTTCATAAAGTTTATTTTTTAAAAAAATACCTTAAAAAAATATAAGAATTTATTACTAATAATATCATGAATTTATAGTACTTAAGGACTTATTCAATTTTAAATTTGTATAAGGTACTAAACCAAATATACATTTTGGTTGTCATCAGAAATATCTTAAAATTAAAGCAAAAATTTGGACAATATGACTTTGAAAATGTGAATTGAATTTATTATAGCATAGATTATAAAACATTAATAGTTACAAGCATCTTAGAGGTTGCTTTTAAATAAGCTGAATTTAATAGCTTCTTGTATTATGCCATTGAAATTTATGGCATTGTAAAGCTTGCAAATGTGTATTATTAGGGTCATACCATTGCTATAAACAAATATATTGACAATCTTTTGAACAATAGTAAATAATACACTTATTAGTAGAATTAATAATATTTATTGTATGGAGTATGTAAGATATCTAAACAAACTATTTTTGGATAAAATTTATTTTTAAATAAATTTAAAAAAAAATTAAAAATACTATCATAAATTTTGTTATTAAAAAATTACTATTAATATATAAATATTCAAAATTTTGATGTTTTCCATCAAACTTCTCTAGCATTCTACTTTATATATCTCTCGTACTTGTAGTAGCAAGACTTTTTAGATTCACTTATGAAATTGATCTACTTTATTCTTTCAACTACACAACTTCTTGGCATAATTATTAGATCTTATTGTTGATTTCTTCCATACGTATGAGAATAATATATCCATAGTTGATATTGCTAATATGTGAAATTTTTGTCCTAAGAATATTGAGAAGCTTGTAAAGATCTATTGTATATACAAATTTGTTCTTACTTCTATTAAGTATAGTATCTATAATTGTTTTTATTTCTATTTTTATAATAATAGACTTTAGTAAATCTATAAGTCAAATTAAAAGAGAAAAATTTATATCTTCAATAATAAATAAATAAAATCTTTATAAAAAAAGATAGTTTATTTTTGTTAAAAGAAGAATTAATGTTATATATATATAAATAAATAAATATATATATATATATATCTGTTTAAAAATTCATAGTTTTTAACCTTTAAAACACAACAATAAAGAGTGGAATCATCCACTCACTTCTAAAACAAAAAGTATAATAAATTAGCATTCATATCAAATTTTTAAGGACATAAATCACAACAAAAATTTAAAAATGACAATACATTCTTATATCACTAAAAGAGAGAAAGTAAAAAATTAAAAGATAGATGTAGAATTAAAACTAGAATGGCTATTGCCAAATGTAAAAGAACTAGAAAGTTTGGAATCAAGATTAAATATAAGAAAGGTTTTGATAAGAGTAAAGAAGGCCTCATTTTTTCCTCCATATATACTATCTATTAAAAACATATGTCGTAATGTTCTATAAGCCATATAATACATGTCTAACTTGTAGAACACATATATAATTTATAAACAAGTTTTTGATATGTGCGCAATATGGCCAACTTGTTAGGCAAGTTGTCAACCTACTAACCTAACAAGATATCAACAATTTAATCAACTACTTACTTTTACCTAGTTTTATTTATTTAAGTAAATATATTAGTCAATTTGGCTATCTATTATAAGAAGGATCTTGCAATTAAATAATTCTAAAAAATAATCATCAAATAAAGGACTTATATTACAACCATATCTTATATTTTTTATGTTAGTTAAATCTTTATACTATAAATTTTTAATTCAAGCCCTTTTGTATATCTAAGTCTTAATATATTCTATATATAAAAACTTTGCATTGCAATAAAAATAAATATTCTTAATAAAGATCCAATTGGCTCTAATAGAAGTTATAAATGGATAATCACTTCTATTTGGAGATATTTTAAATGAGCTCAATCTATTAAAAATGGCATTAGAAAATCATGCATTATCTATAATATTATTAAAGGTCCTGTAAATCTAATAGTACTTGGCTTTCTTTGGTTTAAATTACATTTGCATAATATTGATAATGTAAATAAATAAATAAATAATATGTCACTTTAGATTTTTTCTCAATGTCAATAATCCATTTTGAGTGTTTTTGTTAGAGCTAAGGCATTTACAGAAGTTCATTTGCCATTTTTGTAACAATAAATCTTTATTAGAAGTTTTAGTAGAATCCTTGAGCAATATAAGAGATACCAAGATGTCTTTGAAAATAAAATATTGGTCTTTTCAACCAATGAAAAGGATACATATTTAAATAGATATTTAAAAAAATAATACATGTTTATATTATTAATATATATATATATATACACTTACAAATAGTTATTTTCAAATACAAAGAAATTAGGGTCTTAAACTAAGTTGATGAGATTGACAATGGCTTTAATCTTTCTTCTACATATTCAAGTTGATAAAATAGCTATATTAAAGCTTTTGAAGGACCATGAGACATGTGGATCAAAAATCACAATAAACGGTTTAGAAATCATCAATCTATTTATATAATAATAGTTTTATGAAATTAAAAAATATTTTACAAAGATGATTTAATGACAAAGAAAAAAATCCAAAGGATGTAGCAATTCCAAAGATAGAAGGCAATAGATTAGCTTATTGTGTATTTAAGAAGTGATACATATATAAATTACAAAAAATATGTTTTAAAAATAAGACATAATTTATGATTATTTTATTATTAAATTCCTTATATTTTGGATTTTGTAAAAAAATATTTTATGCTCATTTATATAAATATATAAATCAAAATTATAATGTATATATAGATCCTAAATTTTTAATATGCATCTTATAATCCAACATTGTAAAACTTATGTAAAAAATAAGCATTGAATTTCAAAAATACAATTGAATATGTTATGGTGGTTTATATTTTAAGTACTTTGCAAATCTCAATTATGAAGTTTCTCACCTCTTAAGTAATAAGTAGTAGGTAATAAATGCATTAAATATGCACAATTGATACTAATACATAGCTCTTGTAATATAACAATGATGTATGTTTCAAATAATCCTGTTAAAGTTTTTCTATATTATTCCAAAGCATTCAATGAGGTTTCCAAAATAAAATCATTTACATAGACATGATTTTGATATACACCCATTTTAGTAAATTTATTTGCATTTGTTGATTATTTCCTACATTTGAATTTTTATTAATTAAAAGGAGAAAAATTAAAATAAATAATATAATGTCAATGACACAAAAAAAAATGTAAATCATAGTATGAGGAAATTAGAAGGTTGCAAGAAGCATAGGTAGTTGCTGAAAATGCAGTTCAAAATATGTATATTTTTGCGTTAGTTAGTATCAATAATTTCAAAATATTCACAATCTGATTTATGATTAAATGTTTGCATAAATATGAACAACATACGAGAAAGCATGACACACTTGTTCAAATACATTGCTTTTTGTTATTCATAATGTAGTGACTTTCATGTCAAAATTATTCATTACTTGGATGGATGAGGATAAAAATTCATCCTGATTCGAACATGCGAATTGTGAAGGCTCAATTTGAAAGATCATGCCCAGTTTTACAGATGAGATCAAAGGCTGCTGTAGAGGGTGTCTTCAGGGACCAGTGGCAGTTATTCGGAACTTATTCCGGGAACCCGCCCACTGCAAACGTTGATGAACAACTCAAATTCTGGAAACTGGAGGACTCGTACCTTAAATGAAGCTCTCGCATCTCCTAACTCGGATGTGGCGATCATTCAAGCACAATGATCGCTTTTCCGCAAGGCCAATGGTCTTGAGCTCCATACCGACCGTAAGAGTATGTTCGAGGAGGGATTGAAAGCTTAGGAAGCAGGCGTCTATGGAGAGCGAGAGAGAGAGAGAGAGAGAGAGGAAGGGAGATGGCTTTCCCTTGATTTCACGAAGATTGTGGAGTGCGCGAAGTTGAAACGTGCGTAGACATCGCAGAAGTTGCCGTAGGGAGCTTTTGGATTTTTCCCGTTGCCTAGAATGCATTCACAATCACCCACACAAACACCAAGACCTATCCCTAACTTGGAGTTGCTTTGGCGATGCCAGCACCGGGGTTTGGATGACGTACCTGACAATGCATGAATATGAGAAGCGATCTTTGTCATGCTTGAGTGGTGTTGAACATGTTTACCAGCAATTTTTACCGTCTTTGCGGGAGATTGTAGGACAAGGAGACGGTTAACTGCAGAACCTCACTGGTGCATAAATTCGGCCCTGTCAAGGACTAAGCACAATAGAAGAGACAATGCGAGGAACCGTTCAACAGCAGTAATCCAATAAGCGAGGATAATCTCGACAGAGATTCTGAAGAGAAATTAGAGAAATATGTGAGATGCTGCGGACATTACCAGGGATAGGACAGAAACCAAAATTCGTCAGGGAGTCGATGGTTTGAAGCAGGATCCGTTGATACTCACAGACACACAGTATCAATCTATCTATCTATCCATCCATACAAAGCTCAGAACTGAAAGAAAGAGGGCGAGATAATAAATGGGGCAAACGTGGAGCAAATTCATGTCTGGCCACATGGATGCCGGCAGCAATCCTCCAGCACCTGGTATGCATATGCAATCATTCAGATACGTTAAAACCTCACATGAAAGCTGGATATGTTGTCACTTAGAGAGGATGTCTTTAATCATGATTATTTCACCAGTTTTGACAACTGACCTAGGTCTGCACACGCTTCAGTCCTATTGCTGCTCTTTGCCAAGGAAATCACACGACAAATTCTATACATCAGGCAGCAATACAATGCCTTCAGATGAATAGAGGATACTCGATCAAACGATCAAATCAGATGATTGGATTGAGCGGGTTTATCAATGCTCACGGAACACTGTTTTTCATAGGTGTACTCGACTTGCTCTGATTTCTACAAGGGCATTAAGCAAGAAAAAATTAAAGCGTTTTTTTTGCAGAAACATGCACTGCTCAAGAGCCCAGCACTGAACAGAGCCAAGCTTCAACGGAGGCCTCAAGCAGCGTACCGATCTTTCAAGGAGGCTGGTTCAGGGTCGCCGTAGCTGATGTTGAGGTAACTTTCTGATATTGTACCACCTTCTCAACTATATTATAAAATCTCAAATCAAATTGTTAGTGATGCATTCCAGGTTATAACCTAAACTTTCTGCGTTCTCAGCTATCGAGCTTGAAAGGTGATGAAAAGGAGTCGGATGAAGAGCATATCCAAGAAAGAAGAAATGAGAGACAAACTACTCCCACTCATTCAACATCCCAACAGCTATCTCCTTTACCAGCATTTAAGGTGCCAGAGAAGATTCACCTCAAAAAATCGCAATCATCAGCTTCAACTGCTTTTAAAATATCCAATAAAAAATCTAGAGCATCCAAGCAACCTCGAATTTCATCATCGTCAGCAGTCACACGATTCCAACAGCATTACGCACCAAAAACAGACGCTGAGCCAGCCAGAAAATTGCGAACACACCAGGAATCATTAACCCCATCCCCGTCTCAATTCTCCCAACTTCCAGATGAAGAAGCATTGCATCTAGCCCAGATGGAGGATGAGGACGAGGAGGAGGGGACTCCATCGCAGGCTATGTTACCTGAGGTAGAGAATGATGTCAAAATAGAACCTCTCAAAGAGGAAGCCCAAGAGCTAATGCAGCCCCTGCAGTCATCTGCGCAGAAACTGCTGTTTTTTGAGCTGGACCGTAAACGGAAGGCACCAGCAGGTTTGCCTAGCCTGGCTATTGAATATACGGGCTCATCGCATATGAAGCTGAAACCTCGAACATTACTTGAAAAACCAAGGTCTTTCTATCCCTCTGCCTTCTACTTCAATACTAAATAAATATTAGCAAGTCAAACAGCAGCAAGCCTTTGTTCGCATGCACTGCCTATCTGAATCCATTCGAGAAAAGCGTTTACTTGTGTTTAAAGCGTGTATCTTTCGAACTAAACAACACATCATATAATGATAACGAACAAGTTTCAAAAAAATTGGTTATCTCTTCTAATTAATACACTCTTTGAAGATTTCTATGGGTGGTGTTATAAAACGGGCAACAGTGAAGGAGGGTCGAGGAAGATTCCGGGAGGGGGTGAAGCACCGGTAGGCAGGCGTGTGAGAAAGACAATCGGGAATAGAGGTGTTGCTGAAGGGCATGTCTCCTCACGTGTATACGAGGTACTACTTCCCTCCTCGGTGGCCATGTCTCGCATAATAATCTGCTCTGAATCAGTCAAAGTTGTGAGGAATGTGACTGATGAACAAATAACCGAATGTAACTAGTATTTGATGTTAAGGACCAGAACTTGACAAGAAACATGTGATCATACACAGACAGAATGTGATAAGCAGAAAGAGGAGGCGATTGAGTGGCTTGATCCTGAATCATATCTGGTTCACCAAAACAAGACCACGAGTGCTCCTATCGAGGAAGGAAAAGTGATAAAACCTCTAAGGAAATCCTTACGTAATGCACAAAAAGTCAAGAAAGTAGAGGAGTTTGTATATACCAGAAGGACGGTGAGACGTCGACGACGAAAGAAGTAAAATATTAGGATTCCTCATGTTTTCGTGGCAAAAGGAAGACCCTGTTAAAGATTGCCCCAATAAACTAAAAAATATATGAACAAAATCTGCACAGATTTGAGACATTTTCGCACGGTGTCACGAGAATTTGTGACAGCTAACCAAGACAAGGTTGACCAACATATCGAGGCAGTACCGATCTGTGCAAATTCCTGAACGGTAGACTGCTCATTTGGTCCAACCCTGATCAGCCTGTAGCCTAACAAACTCCGCTAATGCTCGAATATCAGAATCACTCAGTCGTGGTCCAAATGTACATTGCCCACGGGGTGCGCATTTTTCACCATATCCCTGCAGTAACATGTAATAGCCATCAGATAGCAGTAATTGTAGTTCTGTCAGTCGCCTGAAAATAAGGAAAAGATTGATGGCTCTACTTCTCACGTCCTTGGTTGTTTCTTTTCATGGTAGTGGTATAGTAGTGACTTACAGGCATTCGTCCTTTTCCAGAATATGTAATTTGAAAGATATTTTCAACATTGGCCATCCCATTCCTGGCAAAAACAGCGAAGCAGTAAGCAATATGCCTCGTGGTTGTGAAATAGAATGTGGAAATAGTTGCACGTTCTTTCTGAGAAAGTGGAGTATCTTATTAGCCGTCAGAAAGATTATGCATCATACTAAGAGAACCTTATCACAATCTGCCCATCAGTTCATGCTGTTAATACTGTAATTAGGAAAAATTCTACAGGTTTCTTGGCTTCACTTCTTGACCTACAGAGACGCCTCGTGAAACTTCAGATCGTTAGTTCCGGTTCTAAATTGATCAATTTACTACATATTCTAAATCTATGCTACACGAATTCATGCAGTTGGCAGTTAAATAGCAATTCGTGAATGTCCTTCAGTTATTACCTGTCAAGATCTTTGGCAAAAAGTGTTGAATTCTGATTTGCAGAAAAAACAATGCACATAACTCTTTATGAGCTAGATTGAACGCTCCAAGAGATTTGAAACGGACAGACACAATGAATGAACATAAATCGTCATGGTAAGCGTGAAAAATGCAACATCTCATTGAAAAGATATAACATAAAACACTAGTGCAATCGCGATAGTATCTCGCATCCTATCAATGAATATATTTATCCTGATTCAATGTTGTAAAAGTAGGGTAGTTTAAACGTACTGGTTGTAAAATGTTGCCACCACCTGCATGGCAACCAGCACAAGTTCTCTGGAAAAGTATACTAGGTTCTTCAGTCACTCCTTCAGCTGCATGGGCTGCTGCTACTGCACATGAATATGCGTACATATAAGATACTTTTATAGAAAAATATTCAGTATCTTTCAACAATCTATACTAGAGCAACAGTTACCTGCTACAAGGAACATCCCTAAAATTAGATCTCAGTTAGAAATTCCTTCAAAACGGGACCTGAAGCGTAAAACATTATCCAGAAGGCCAAAAGCTTTATTAGATAACTAGAACCAACTTTTTCAAAAATCGTGAAGTGGCTGAATAGGTGAGAGTGGATACAATAAGGTGTACAGCATCCAAAAACTGCAGTGCAAGCCCCAACGACCAGCATTGACGCCAATACAGAGAAAGGCTCCCGGGAGGTTTCGTTATCTGAGCTCGTCAATCCTGCCATCCACTGATCGAATTTGCTCACAATTTGGTCATTGAGGATTCACGAACAGCAGTGAAGGAAAACATACGTAATGAAATATTCGGAGCAGGATAACCGAGTCTATTTCCCGACAACAATAGAATTAACAAGAGGATAGGAAGAAGTGGATAAGATTTTAAAACCAGAAACTGATGCAGCATGTGCAGATGAGGCGTACAGATATCCAAGAATAAACTGTCGCGGTTATAAAACAAGATTACGAAAAGGCTCCATCAAAAGAACCACCAAGAGAATTCCTCAAAATAACACGTACCGATACAACGGTTAGTCCCACCTCTTTACACTTGTCAGCTAGCTCGAAGGAAAAACAAATGAAAATAAAGCTACAAGAAACAACGACAACAAAAATAACAAGCAGAGCGAAGCTTGCTCCAATCTTCAACATTCTCTCCTTGGCGCAACCAATCTCAATTTCTCGATTCTTGTCCCCTCGTTGGACTTTAGAAAACTAAGCGTTCATAGCAAAACTCGAGGACCAGCAATGTCGCAAGATTCTGAGGGAGGGTTGCGCCACACGTTCAGAATCCAATTCGAATACACATGGTTACCTGGTTAGAGGACATCGCTCGGACTCCTACTGAAGCTGAGTTGTGGCGACGAATTGATGCGCCCTTGAAGCGTGCGTTGTGTAGAGACGCTACGGGCAATGTAAGTCCCTGCACTGAAGATGATGCCCAGTCCACCGGCAACAACCTTGATGGCGCCATAGCCATGGCCATTGAGAATTCTAAAACCACAAGAGAGAAATTGCACAACAACCGTGATACTCGCCTGTCTCAACAACCTCCCTCTCGAAATGCTCAATTTCTCAATTGGTGCTTCACCATGGCTCGTCATACATCCACTAATGACAATATACATTTCGGTGCCATTGCGAACGATAAAGGAAGAACGAAAGGTAGACGGGCGTGTGCTAGAAACCTTCAGATGTGAGTATATCATTCGAACGTCTTCGGAGACTTCATAAGGTAAGTTAGGATTTGAGCATTGAGGTGTCATTCATCCACATACCTAAGCCCAATTCCAGGCTATTTTATTTCCAATCGTAGATTTTGCAACCATGCGAATGACCGTCTAGCTTTTCTTCGCTTAGCTTAGATTTTCCGCATACCTTTGTTGGTACGTTTCACTCCTCGCTTGCTATCCTCTCATTTAAATTTTTGCTGCCAATGTACTGCAGAGAGTTGATGAAGCGCAAAAACACAACCAACGACGTAAACAAGGAGCTCTTTCTTGAATGAAATTCAGAAGAGCGATATGAAAGGTCGCATATCATTGTCACAGGGATGGAGTAGATACGTAGAAGTACTTTGAGACAAATCAAACCACGCAAGACAGCAGGCTTATACAAATATACAAAACAAATGGTTCTTAAATTTCACAAACACTGATCTTAATCGGAACCACGTGCAGATCTTAACATCGGCAGTTTACATAACTAGGTCGACCTTTGAAGAGATATCCCCCCCGATTACAGGTCTCTACGTCTCTACATATCTACTCAGCCACTGCAAGTAATAATTTGTGCAGAATGACCTCGCTGTTTGACTCGCACCGGATGTTTGTTCCAGCGATCAAACTCTATCAGCGATACCTAAGGTGCCCTAAGTTGCAATGAGGTGCCTACTGGTCATTATGTAATGCCTCTAGCCAAACTAGAACTCAAGCAACCAGAAGTGTCCTCCATACGGGTGACTCATTTCAGGTACAGTAGTTGTCGATTCTTTTCAAATGAATTTGTGTTTTGGCGATGCAATCTAATAATACGTTAATGAGTAGCACTCTTTGGTTGCTATACGTTCGCCGTCATCTTACTCTCGAGATTGTGTACAATACTCGTCTCAAAATAAAAGCATCAAAGCAACACGATTACCAGACTAGCCGATTAGCAAGTCAGTTAAGCCATCGAGAGCATTATTGCTTAAGCACTGGAGTTGGGGTGAAGGGTGAGGATTAGCCTGAACCTATACTGCTTTCTTGGATTTTGCAGCCACAGATGCTTTTGCAGTTCGATTCTTCGCAGCCTCTCTCGACTCGACTTCGGCAGATTTCAATGATTTGTGGATAAAGCCGTATCTTTCAAGGACTTGGTTATCAGCAAAATTCACAGCACGCTCCATTTGAGTCAAGCATCGATCAACAGTGTACTCAGGATTGATAGCTCCGCAACAGAATTCACATCCGCAAAAATGTGTCACAAAAGGCCACCGGTCATCTCCGTAAATTCCAGGCTTGTACTTCGCCATCATGTCTTCAAATTTCTCTGTAAGTACCTTCCAATAACCCTGAAAATAATAGGAGCTTTCGAGATAAACCTTGGATCCCCATCGTTCCCTGTCTGTGATCATGAGATAGACTAAACCAGATTGGTCATCTGCCTCACCTTTGCCTCTGTCAGGAAGCGCCTTCGAAAGAAATTTGCCCACGTCATCCCTAATCTTGCCTTTCGGGCTCATGGGCGCCCAAGCATGAAGCAGGTCCATTGACCATTGACAATTCCGGATTAAAAACACACCGGCATTGAGGCCCAACCAGCTCCGCTTCTCGTACACAGCATCGTCCCAGCCGTGCATCACCATGTTGTAATTTTCGTACTTATGTAACGGGAGCTCGAAGGTCATGTCCGTGAAGATTGCATCGCTATCCATCCACCAGAACCAATCTATCTCAGGGTGCTCCTTCATAAGCATGTGAGTCAGAAACGTCTTCACCCACCACCCCAGCATCTCATCGTCAATCTTGTCCATGTTGTAGTAGAGTTCTATTCCATGTATCCGACAGTAGTCCAACTTGTTCTTAATGGACTTTAGAAGCATTTGATCGCCTTGCTTGTTGTCACACTTCTTAGGGTGGGAGCTCGTGATAAGCATGATACGCGTTTTGGGATTTACTCCACTGGATGAGTTTGTGCTACGCCGTATCGCTTGTTTGCGAGTCTCATCCCAACCAACAACCGGAAGACCAAATTTCGTGAATGGCTTGCTCCTGTTCAGATATTCATGCAAGCCCTTGTCAATCACTGCAAGATGCTCGCGTACCTCCTCAGGAGTCATCTTCTGTGGGCCATAAACAGGCTTTGGACTGCCAGAGGTGAGCGTGCTTAGATCCAATGTGGACGAGTTCAAGATGAACAAACCGAGTGTGCAGATCGCTGCAATCAAGCACATCCCATATGCCACTCGGTTTTGGAAGCTGCGGCCTCGAAACGGCATCCATGAGTCCTCAACCATTGGCGCAATCGCCTTTTTGTTGTCTTCCTTCATTTTCGTGAACAGACTTGCTCTTCCGCCTCCTGCTAGTTACCTCACTGTCGTCAGGACATCTTACCATAGCACAATGCTGGTGTGGGGACATTCCAGCAACTTAGATTGTCGCCAAAGCCATCAATCTTTCTTTAATGTAAATTTTGCAACCATCTGATAGATAAATTATTCTACATCAACTTAATTCTGTACACAAACGACACTGTCGTATAAATAAGAGAGTACAAGTTCTGGAAAGATGCTTTCAATCAACGGACAAATCTACTCCGATATCCACAAAACTGGAGGATTTCTTGCTTCTCCCGCAATACTAGTTGATTATCCCGATTTCATTTCAATTTCCTGGTAAATTTTCTCGGTGAAAGAATCACCGCTCACATCTTATCTGGAATGTAGGCCTGTGGTCTTAAACATGTTGAAGAAGCTACCTGTAAATGCTTATCTTCGACAGTTGAAGACGTCGTACTTGCAACTAATTCTGCAACCCTTCTCTCCACTTCAGTGCATTGATCCAAGGGTCTGCATTAAAAAGAAAACGACAATGGTATCAGATGAAGCTATAAGCTCACGCATGAAATGAAAATTGCCCAACTATCTACCATTCACCTTCTAGAGCGCATGATCGTGGAATCTGGATGAGAGAAAATCTAAGTTAATTTTACTCTTCAACGGATTTTCGACTTTGAAGAAATATGTTATGCGGTTATCATCAGGAAATTCGTAATGACTGGAGCAAGGCTCGCTGTGTCAGTGACCATCTTTTTGAAACCAACAAAAATCACAATGATGGTAAGGTTCATTACTTGGCTCTTGGTTTGTCGATTGTGCTGCTCCATTCTTCATATGGTTGCACTGTTGAAGTTATTCCTTCATTTCTTGATTCTTATTTTCTGCGAGAAACACGAACATCGTAAGAGAGGACATGATGGTAATGATGCAAAAAACGTTACTCAGTGGAGTTATTTGAGCAAGGAAATTAGTCCTCAGCTCCAAAATTCCCGATGGCTCGAATTCTAGCATGATTCAAAGGGCTACTCATGATTCTACATACAGACCGATGATACGAACTTGGCTGTTGTCACTCTGGACTTCTGAAGGGAGGGATCAATCGCACAGTAACAAACTAATGAGGGAGGGCGTGACGGAGAACTCTTCCGTTAGTGAACATTTACCACCTCTGTACTCAATCCAGAATAGGAAAAATAGAACAGTTCATCGACATCGACTGCGACACGACAATACGGTTCAGTTTCATACTGAGAGCGTCCAAAGATAAAGTTGTCTGATTTTTGCATGTTTTCTTTTAAAGAACCCTTTTAACTTCTACGTCCGCGATAGGGAAGGAAAAATTTCTCGAGGTCGTTTCAACATGTACCAGACTTGCCACTACAAATGGTGGACATTCAACCGTCTGGCAGTAGCAGTCAATCGTGTACGCCACACCTTAGTGAAAAATTGAGCATCCAGAAGCATGAGATAGTAATCCTAAGCAGAAGGAAATCGCTCTCTTCGAGGAGAACTCCAACGCGTTGCTAGAAAAGAAGCCTACTGAAGTTCTGTGACAAGGTCGACCAGACATGACAAAGGCACTCCGAGAATCTCGACACCGGCCACCAAATGAGAGAAACGTCGGATGATATGTGCGTCAGCTCTTCCAAGTGAACAGACTACGCATACTCTTACAAACTCGCGCACGTACTATTAGCATTTGAGCTGCCTCACCTACCTCTTGACAAACTGCGGCGAAATCGACTGGTGCAGTACTCTCGAGGCGGCCACGAAAATCCAGACACGCCAGAGCATGGATAGAAGCTCCGGCAGCTAGACTCAGCATCCTCCGGAGTAACCTGCACAAGCAGAACTGTCTACAAAACCTTGAGCTGAGTATTGATTTGTTCCGAAGCTCTCCTCAAGTACGTATGATTGGAGAGATCTCGGCCCCACTAGGTGAAAAGGTCGAAAGTGTCCTGAGCTAGATTCTGCCCTGCACATGAAGAGATCATATGCACATCAGAGACTCCTCAAAAGATTCTCACATCTAAGAAGACGAAAAGAATTGTTTGCGCTTGTGCCGCAAGGAGTCTCCTCAGAACTGAAGACAACGACTTCATAACGCTAATCACACATTGTGATTAGCACAAAATACGAAGACCCCTGTACGGCATTATAGGTATGCAAACCCAATCCTACTCAATAATACAGTCAATCTAGCCTAACACCACACCTCATCGGGGAGATTCCAGGTTATGTGTACACATATCGCACACGATTAAACAAACAACTAATCCAAGGGACACTGTAAAACCTCGAGCAGAGATGTCAGAGTTCCATCATGTCGCAAGGAGGCCCTTTAGGAAAACTCATTCACTTCGATGAGGCGCAATAAGCTTACAGGTATCTTGTGTTGTAAACAATCTCACTAGTCAGAGATTTCGTACACAATTACCACCCGGTTGAGATCGTGGCGTCCCAAGAAATGCTTTCGGATTCTATGGTAAGCAATTGACATAGCCTAGCGCATTCCGGAAGTGGACGACGGAGGAACCTGAACAGATCGAGACAGTGGGAACCAACCTCGTTGTTAATGCTGCAAACAGTGGTCGAGTCAGTTGTGGTGATCGACAGCAACACATGATGAGAGACCCATATGACAATATTCAATGTTTGAAACTAAGAAGTCTGTCTTGCTCTACGACGAAGCCACAGTGCGCCCTGGGACCCATCCACGGTACTGGAGAACAATGATCGATACTGGTACTCAATTGCCTACCTATCGAGAAGAAATCTTCCGATCGATTGTGATTGGAGCTCGAATCTTTGAAAAATTCCCCGACGGTGTCACACAGTTGCGACCTGACAACGTGCCCAGTGTCATTTCAGACAGTTTCGCTAACCTTCCTCTGCCGTCAATAAGTGATTTAAACCTGAATATCCAATGTGCCTGGTTTGACAAAATCCGGATGCGTTTAATCAGTGCCATGAACGCATCCACTAATGAACCTCACGACTGACAATCTCTGATTCTGTAGCTTTGTCTCGAACACGATAATTAACCTTGGCTCTAACCGACATGGCATCTCTTTACCTACGATACCATCGCTGGTCAAGAACCGGGTCCACGTCGCAGGCCTCCGCAAGGCCGAATGATTAAAAATGTTCCGCCAACTGTGACAAGATGCATGCAATTCATGGTTCGTAGGTAGAAATAAGAGGAATCAAGGAATGAATTGCACATCAGACACTGATTGAGCACACAAGATCCTGCACTACAACTATCGATCATGGGTCGACTGGGAAAATAGCTAGCCTTCTTCCACCAACTTATTCTCAATTCCTATCATAGAGATGTTTTTATTTTTTTGGTTTTTCTTTTCCTCCTTATCAAATAGATTAGACCGCGAATTTGCATTCTAAACTTGTGGTATGAAAGTATATATGCTGTGTCGCAAAAAAGTAGTTAGCTTCTATAAATATCTTAAACAAGGATGACTATAGATATCGTGGCAGTTCTGTACGTGAGAATTGGTAAAATTATATCAGTACTTTTTCAAATCTTACCCATGTAGAATCATGTGAATAGTAGACAGATAGATGGCAATAATACTTTAAATTAATGATTCGAAAGATTCTTGTTTTTGTGCTTAGTGGTTTTGAGATTTTAGATTCTTTGATTCTCTCACAGTACATTTTAACAACTTTGACTGTTGTTATTGATTTGTTTTTGCAACGTCTCATCTCGATAACGTGCACACGAAAGAAAATGAAGTCAATGCTGGACATAATCAGAATCGAAATCGAGTCAATGCTGATACAAATTACATCAAAATCTGATTAAACATCCACAAGGTCAAGTCCCGGTCCTGCACATCATGCCTTCCTTTCCAAGCAAGACAATGAGAGTGTACAACCCAAGTGTTTCTGTCCACGTACGTCTAACACCTTCCTTTCAAATCGCCTGTATGACTCAAGGAAGATGCATCCAAGTTTGTGATTGGAGTGTCAGTCAGAAATCTTCGAACGACTTGCGGACTGCATAGAGTCCAGATCAAAATCACTCAATGCGCACACAATGCTGACCTGATGAAGCCTCCTGACTTCAGAGACAGGCTCTTCACTTTCAAACAACCCGATGTGCCGATACACTTACAACAGGCAACGACCTGTCTGACATGACCGTCAGACTCCAAGGTTTCTCCCATCCACGTTTCTACACGTTCAAGGCCATTCGTCACTTCGAGTGAAAAAGGAAACAAAGAGAAAAATTGTAGCAAGACAGGGGGTTCCAACATTCCACCCATTGAATTCTCCGTGTGCAACATTTCCACCTCGAAAGAAAAAAAAAAAAAAAAAAAAAAAAAAAAATCAGTCGGCAAATGGCCGAGATGACACGCAAGCCTCGCGACGTAGGCAAAAAATACACACCAAGTCCATTATTCCCTTTAACGCTGTGCTGAAAGTCTGATGATAATTGGGTGTGGAGAATTCCGAGGCAAGTTGTCCAAGACAAAGTAGTTGTGGGCCGAAACGACAGCAGAAAAGACCCAGCCAGATCGTCATGGAGGAGGAGGGGCCGGGCCGGGCAGTGAAGATGGGGGAAAGCCTGGCCCGCCAATAATTGAGGGGGAAGCGTCAAAAGATTGGCCTGCTCTTTCCCAAGCCGCTATGAGGTCCACCTAGCAGGTCGCTGTCACCCATCCGGCCCCGCCCCCAGGTTTGCCTTTTGGCGCTGACCGCTTGCTCAGCCTCGGGCAGGAACTTCCCTCAGTCTGCCAGCAAAATAGTGCATGGGGACGTGGCATCGCCCTTCGGTCCTCTGGTCCTCTCATAACTCCTTTCGCGGGTTTCAACCTTGACCCGCGCTAAAGACCCTTCACCACCACCTGGTCAACACCCGGCTGGCGGAATGCCCTTCTCAATATATGGAAGTCAACGCTCCTCCGCACTGAGACCCCCTCCCCTCACATCATCGTCTGGTTAAGACCTGGACCTGGAAAAGGAGTCTCATTTCAAGCCTGTCTTCACGTCGCTTATTAACCCCGTTCCATTTCGATGCAGAAAGAAATTCTGTACAGGTCAAAATTGCCTCTCTTTTACTTCTTTTTTTAGTATTTTAATATTTATAATATTTTTAGATAGGCTACCTACGGGATGCATAATTTTTACTCAAAATGCCAATCTATATGTTTCTTATACCATTCCACTAATATATGATTAGGCTGTATTTCTCTGGATATTTAGCCCTCTTTTCGGGATTATGCAACAACACTTGCTTTAGTTATTGTCAGTTTTTGTGATCCTTGGCTTCCCACCGACAACTTCAACTGAAACATTCTTTGGTCTACTTTAATTATGCAAATCCAAATATTTATTTTCCCTTGTAATTTTTTTACCAGAATTGCTCTTGTCTTGGTTGTAACTTTGGACTCTTAATTGCCCTTCAATACATAAATATTATTGCGATGAAGATAAATGCCACTATCTTGAGGAATAAGTTGTCAAGAAAAAAAAAAAAAAAAAAACAGAACAAAATCATATACGTATGACACTCGAAATTTAAAATATAAAAGAAATAAAAGTATTGCAATATTGTTTTCTTATACATTTTTTAATCTAGTCAATTACACTACTGGATTTCAAAATAATCCAAAGTTGTTTTGTAATATTGCTAACTAGTTATTCACAAATTGTTAACTCTTTTCATTGATATGCATTGATGTCCTCATTAATGTTATTATTTGTGGATTTTTGTTTTACTTAATTTCTGAAGAAACACACTGGTTCTTTTTCATTTCTTGCACTGGTACTAGAACCACAAAATGTTTTCTGGGTAGGTTTACAATTTTACAGTGTTGCTTTGCCTTTTAATTAGATTTTAAATTCCAGGGGTTTGTGTTCTCAACTAACTTTACAATGTCATGCTTTGAGCTAATTCTTATGCCCTTGGATGAAGGCCTTACTATGTTTGGTCAAAATTTATACAACAAAAGGTGTGTTATTCAAAATGTTTGAACAAGAAATTGTGCCTGGGAGACACAGACATCCATGCACACAGCAATGGGTTGTACTTTACTGGGTCACAAACAAGCCTCCTTGTGGGAGTCCAACGCTTTAAAGAGACCCATAATGCAACAAGGGTCATGACCCGGGCAGTCCAAAATAATTATTTTCTGCCCTAACCTCCCCCTCAAAACAAATAATAGATATGAACACTTTCTGTTTTAGGGTAGCAGCTGGTGGGTGACAATGTGGGGGATCTGTTGGCCAGCTGGGAAAAGACCAAACAAGGAAATGAAAGGGGCAGCTATTCTACAATAGCCAGATTGAAAGGAGGAGGAGACAGGGCCTTGGATTCCAGGGGCACAGGCATCATAATGACTGATTGGAGAGGAGTTCCTGACATTGTGCTGAGGTAACACCAGCAGCTTGCTTGGTCATTTTAATATAGTAATTTTAATCTCCCCCACTTGGATAGCAACATGCATGTTTTGTCTTGCTTGTTGCCTGGTAGGGAGGGCGTTCTCCTCCACAACACATGAAAATTAACCCTCTAGAACTCATCATTCACAAGCAGATTATTTCTGTCTATCTGTGATTATATATGTGAAAATAAACAGACAATAAAATAAAGGGTAGAAAGAGTACTTGCATGAATACACATGCACAGGAGTAGAGTATTTTAATTTTAATTTTAATTTTGTTGTCAACACTTTTGTGAACAATTGGCAGGTGAGCACAGAGGTTGGATTGCCAATGTTCTCTTACATACAGTATACCTACCTTGTGTTTTTTGACAAGTGAATACATGTGGGTGTTTGCAGAAATGAATGAAAGAATGACTGGGAGTGTGTAGGGTAGAATTTCTGTTCAAGAAAAATTGGATAATATCATGATTTCATTAATTAATTTATTTTTTAAGGAAATATTTTTAGTTACATTTGTTTCATGGTTATGCAAGACATGGAAAAATTAAATGTAACAATCTGTGCTTCGAATGTGAAGTTTTTATTTTGGTCATTATGTCATTTGTTCAATGAAGAAGTCAAAGAGCTTTCTTCAACCTAGACTATTGACTGGTGGGGATTGAAAGAGATCTATGTTCTCACTGCTGCAGATATAGATGCCTGACATCTAATATAGACATGCATGATTGTAACTTATTTGGAAAACATGTATCAACCCTGTTCTCAAAAAGTTCTGGTGAAGGACCAGAGTGTACCATACTATTCTTAGGAAGACAAGGAGCAAAAGGTGTGGACAAAGACAACACCCACAAAAAAACACCAAACAATAACAACTATTAAAAAAAGCAAAAAATAAAAACAGCCCAATCATATTGTATAGAACGTGACTTGTCTTGAAAAAACAGTGTTCAATTCATAACCACCAAAATCAAGTTAAAAGAAATCTCATCTTAGTCTCTACTGAAATCAACATTGATCATACTTTTTGAACTACAAGAAAGTACTCTGCTTTGGCTGAGCTGTCCCTGACAAGAATAAAGGAAAAGGGAAAATCAATGCAGTTATCTAGAAACCCTAAAATGCCACACAGATTTCAGCAAGATGATGAACCTATTCAAATGTGTGGGAAAGTCTACGTGGAATCGGTCAACCAGTTGTTGTGTCGTAGGATACGTATTATTTCTGTGATTCTATATGTGAAAATAAACATTTTCATGCCCAGGTAACGAAAGGGTATGCACAGGGTATGATATGCAACGAGGGTATACACATCGACAGGGTAGTGCGAGAGAAACAAGCGCCGAGACATTGATCTCACACCCTTGACTGCTGCCGCTGCTGCTGCTGCAAAATAATCTCATAATTTCTTTCGAAATTGCAAAAATTGCGATGAGAAGGGGGATCATAACCCTTCGCTGAGTATCGTTAGGCACCGGAGATGGAGATGTGAGCAGCATCTGACACAAAAAGTTTAGCATGAATGGCAGACATTGACAGGGGCATCATTGTAATCGACAGAAGCTTTTAAGTCGAACTGCAGCTCAATTCCAAATTCTTGTCAATGGTGGACTGCTGGAGCTTCACTCAGATGTCTTGTCATAAAGGGAGATGGTTTCTGTTAATTGTTATTTCAACAATCGGCGTCGGTGAATGATGGTTTTTCGTCCACAAGTTGCCACTACTGCAGTGCACAAAACATGCTTGCAAAGAAGTAATCAGCATTGATTAGAGTCGGAATTTATTTATTTATTATTATTATTTGTTCTTTGAGGTCACAGGTTCATGACATTGAGGGAACTGCATGTCATTGTCCAACCATGAAGCATGCTGTCGAGCAAGTGCGTGTGCTGTTTATGAGCTATTTGTGTATGGAGACGTAAGCATGCTTGCCTTTCGAGCTGAAATTTTTATTCCTACTACTGCAATTCATCGCCGCTTTCGTGTTATCGATTGGGTGGATGCCAGTGATTGGTAGGTGCGGGTGAATCTAGGATAGGTGTATGGGCCCATGAGGGATCATGGCAGGAGGACCCGGGGTACGACGGTTTCGTCATAAGAATGCGAGATCCCCAAAGTACCGCAGTGTGTTGACTTCAGTTTTCAATCATGCACACCGTAATTGTGATTCGTCAACAAGCATGCAAAGCAAATGGCCTGACACTTGAAGAAGAGTTGTTGAGAATAGCAACGTCACCGTCACAAGGTGTAAGGGGCTCAAGATTCTGCACTCCTCACCAAACCCCTACTTCTGACTCAAGGTTCGATCACTTCTCTCAATCATTGCACGGGAAGATTGTGATTAAGTTCACGCACATGATATACGTTCCAAATGCTTCCAGAGGTTCGCACAATGCTCCATCATCGCATTTGACTTGCATTGAACGTCAGTCAAACTTCAATCTAGATTACAAGAAAGTTTAGCAACTAAGTCCATGATTCTGCGCAAGTTGTAATTTTACGCAGTTTTTAGAGGCTCATCAGGCGAGTTCAGAAATAATGAGCTCACTTAAAAAAGGAGTTGAGCTCAGTCCAATCGCAACACTAAATATGAGAAATAATATTGATTTTGAAGGTTTAACTTAATGGCAAAAGGGTGGCGATGAGAAGTGATGCTCGACTCAATTTGTGCATAGCAGAATTAATGTAACGATCACCTGACTGCAAATTTCTGCAAATTTGCTCATTTCAGTTTTTGACAGTGTTGTCTCCTATTTATGCCCACGAGGGTCCACCTATTATTGAAGGCATGTAATTTCCGATTAAGAACTGAAATAAATATTACCTGAAAAGTAGCTTCATTGTTTCATAATCTTTTTCTCGAACCAGAGAAACGTTCGAAGCACATGCTAGCCAAATTAAAAAAAAGGGGAAAAAACCCAGCAGACTTCTACGGATCCAGAATGCAAGTCGTTGACATGTTGGCTGTGACGTTATTGTGAAGATTAAGCTGTGAAAGATGTCTCACCTGCATATAATGCTCTGCTTCTCCTGTCGCATTCATGCAGCTGCGGTAGGGAGCACCGTCCTATTCGAACGTCATGAACCTGTCTCGTCCTCAACTGAGAGTAGACCCTTGCACATGGTGCTTTTACCAATCAGTGACATAGCCCGCCATGTGTATGCTTCTGAACCACGCTTACTTTGAAGTTTTTACAGCTCTTTGGTCGACCATAATTGACGACTCCAGCAGTTCTTCCACAGAAGAACAAGCAAGTCAGGGTTGTTGAACCTTTCGTGGAATTATTTCAAGCTCATTGCCAGCGTAAGCGCAGAGTTTGTTGCAAATCACTGTTTGCGTTTGTGGCAAGTTATTCTACCACTTGGAAAGTTAAGGAAATACTCAAACGAATACCACGTAGAGGGCGTTGAGAGGCAAGCACTTGTGATTAGAGGTTGTGTGGGAGGTTGGAAACAGACTATTAGGTTCTTCCTCAACACCGAAATCCACTTCCTAGCGAGCGCGGCTCGCAGGCACTTCAAACCTATCACAGTGACATGATTGCTACCAGTTCAGCAGATGATTTTCCAAGACTCAAGACGATTGCGTCTTTTGCATTTTGGAAAGTACTTGCTCCACATTCTTGATGAGCAGGGCGATATTCATAATCAAATTATTAATTGAAGATAATCATAAAGAAGGTGTCATCTAGTCTACTGCAGACTCAGTCACAACGCAGGCAATCCAGCTCTGAGGAAGGGAGAAATTACAAATTGTGCGGTGAACTTCTCAACATACCTGCAACGCGTTTTAAAGAGAGGAATGTGAATGTAAGTTCATTACATTTCTACATTCAAATACTTCAGCAGTCGGACGTAGTTGATGCTGTTAAGTGCCATTAGAGTGGACTCTTGGGGCTTCATTTTACATCCAAGCGCCGCCGGTCCAGACAAGCATTACTCGAGCAGCTCGATTTGGCTCGGTGCGACAATTCAATATTCGACCACATCCTGATAACACGTTGCAGAATTAACGAAATCGAGGCCTAAATACCCTCTCCTTGTTGCTACAGCCAGGTTCATATCATCCAACTGGCAACTATAGCAGAAACCATAGCAACTGGTAGTGCTTTAACAACACTTCACCATCTGGAATGTTGGCTGACTTTGGTCAACTATGCAAGAACCCCTTGCAGAGCATCTTGTCACTTCTTAACTCCCAGCCACCCACAAGCTCGTGCCTGCATAGTCAAGATCTTCTTCCAACAACGCTTCGTTGTTCCCAAGGAAAATAGCTTGCCTTCGTCACCAAAAATGCAGCTGTTTTTTCGAAAATGTTTTGCGTTGACATGGTGGGGGAGAACCGTTCCAAAATCAGTAGGTTATGTGTGTATCATTTCAACCAAGAATTGGTCAGCATGTAATTTTCAAACGGATGATGCATATTCCGTAACAATGCATATCCAGTCAACTAATGTAACTTTCCAAGGCAGGGTGTCAAATAGAGACCATTGCTTTATTTTGTTGTCTCCTCATGCATTTGACTCGAAAATGACTAAATGAAAGGAGAACATCACAACCCAAGGAAGTGTGCTTTGAACGAAAGAAAATTCATGGGACAAAATGACGATGCAATTTTCAATGAAAATGTTTAATGGAAAGGGATAGTCCCGAGAACCAGCTCTTGGATTGCCATTCCAAGAGCACTTCTGAAAATATTCAACCAAAAAAATCATTGTACATAAAATGTGTTTGTCATTTTCAATCGTTATTTCCTTACATTTTCTACTGAAATGATTGGAGATTTACTTTTTCAAAGCCATTTACTAATCCTTTTTTTAAAATTCTCTAACTTCAATGTGATTCTAAAACCAACATTTAACTTCCTACTAATCGTATTGTTTCCTTGTCCCCAGCAAAATAAGACATACATCTGCTCTTACATAGAACTTCAATAAGATCCTATGACATAAAAATGTAACAAGCGGTTGGATCGATCCCAAGAGTCAAAATGAAAAAATGAAGATATATAATACAACTTCATGTGGTTCCCTTGAAGGAGTCGACAGATTCCAATCATAATGACCTGATGGTTTAAGAGTACACTTCATGAAGTAGGTCACTATCAACTCAGTGGGCATTCGTGGAGGAGAAAGCTCTCTTCATGTCTTTTGCAATCCCATGCCTTCATGGGTTTGGAGTTTTTCCCAATTGTGCCTGCGACACAGAACGTAAACACGTGTGAAACTCCAAACCCAATCATGTAGAAGACAGACAACTAGGACAGTCCAGTTTGAAATCTGAGACCTTCAGAAACATCAGGGAGTTTATTCGAAGGTGCATGCATACCAAAGGAAAGGAAAAAACAAACAAACAAACCAACTAACAAAGAAAACGAAACACAACAAAACAAACGAAAGAACTCAAGGTGATAGAGTGCTCACCTTTTTTTCTTTTTTCTTCTTTTTATTATTTTATTTTATTTTATTTTCTTAAGATGGAAACTTAAAGAGGACTTCCTTATGCCAACACTCAATCATTTAACCCTTACTGAGTTACCGAAGCTCTAGCTATTAAGGATTGGTATAAACCTGTGCAACCCTTTTGGGATGATGAAACTGCTGCCATAATCGGGATTCTGGACAAGTTCTTCTGGAAACTGCGCCACAATATTGCAACCAGCAGTGATCTCAAACTTACAACAAACCATGATAAGTTTCTAATATGGTTCAAGTGCAAAAGAGCACGATGAAAAGAGAAGAGGTCAAGTGATCTCGAGGAGGCAACCTCCTTAGAACCTCAGATGCTTAGTACGTTCATACAAGCTTCCCCCCCCCCCCCCCCCTCTTATTTGAATGGCATGTCTGCTTCTTGGGTCTCCAGGAGGGCACGTGGACTTAGTTTTACAATGCCAATCTGGAGAGCCTTATCTCCTGTTCCTTCCGCCCCACCATCTTTCTTTCTGCCACTGCAACACCCACACAAACGTTAATACATATCGATTGCATTCATAATCAATTTTTTTGGATAGACGATGACGGTCAAGGATGTTCCATCATTGTCACAGACATTGCATTTCTGATGTGAATAGTCTCCACAGCAAGGCTCCGGCACTCAAACGATTATTAAAAGGGGGATACTAAAAGTGGTTAAATCGTCCTGTAGAAACCTAAACATATTTCCGTTTCTTAAACTTTCCTAAATACAACTAGGATTTTCTATTCATCCATACTTTGGATTTTTTTTCAACATTCTTAAAGCCCCTACTGTTTGGGGAACTAACCTATAATGTCGCTTCCAAACTGCAAATTATGAATACCCTCGCAGACCTAAAGAAATCCATCAAATACGTGGTTCGATAGAGCCGGCAGGACAGAGATATTTAATGAAAGTCTATCAGACAATCGTTTCGAGAGGAGCATTTGCAAAGTACAACGCAAACCAATGTCACATAATACACTTCATCTGTTGAACAAAGTCTCGAGAAAAATCAAACCTTTACTACATTTTTTCCAGAGGTTTCTATCTTAAACCCAATTTCAGATGACAAAGTTCATAAGCTCGAATCAATTCACCTGGCAGTCCTCGCACCAGGAGAGAGTGGACTTGATGCTTGAGACCAAGAGGCGGATCGCACGAATTTCGTAGGTGGTGACCGACGAACGGGTGACACACTTAATCTCTTAGGTGAGGCTGCGTGTCTCTGTGAACTATTTCGACAATGAACTCTTGGTGATTCGGCTTGTAAGTCACCAATGTCCTCTGACATATCCTCAATCATAGATTTCAAGTGTTTCAGTTCTTCTTTTAATTGCTTGACCCCTGCACGCTGCTCGTCAATAGCCACAAAGGTTCTGATTGTCATGCCAAACTATTCTAGCGACCGCATTATTGCGTAAATCCAAAAGATAAAATTTGTCTACATATTGCTTTCAGCTGTTGAGCCTTTGCAGTCTGTAAAACCCCTATCTAAACAATAACCGATGTTAGCAACTTCCGATGTTGCAGAAATTCCGCACAGAAATACTGTTTTTCCGGACGTCTTTCCTCTAACAACAATATATTTTATACTGTAGACTAACAAATTCAAAGAGTTAGACAATGGTCATGAACTGCACCACGAGGTATGGTTTGAGATAAATTCTACCGCTCTGAAAGCTAGGTATCCAATATTGGATAGATGAAGCAAAGTTCTACCATAAGAAACAATATGTAAAATAAAACACTCATACGAATCGGCTCTAACCAACTTTGATATGATGCAAAACAACCGAAAAGTTGTCAAGCACAACCATCTTTTTGGGGCTCGAAGGTGGCTTCCTGGATGAATTCTTGTTTTTCCTCTGCAGAGCTTCCATTTCCCCGCGCAGGGTTCCTAGTGGCACCCAGAAATATTTATTTCATATCCCCATTGCTTCAGTGGGTTTAAGTAATTATAATTAAAGCATTATAAATTGATCAATCAATACCCAAACATGGAAATACCAAGTTGTGAAAATGTGCCTTGCTTGGAGCTACAGTTAATGAACTTTCAACTCTTAACTTTAACCACTACCATAGATTTAACCATAAACTGATGCAACGACATGACCAGAGAGCGTAACAAGCAAGCTTCTATTTTCGAGCTTCATTTTCAGCGATGTCAAAAATATGGTCACTCTTTGAAGATGGGTATTCCAAAAGAGCTCGTAGCTGATCATTTTGCAGCTTCTTAATTTCCTTGGTTTGTGCTTATCACTTAAATCACTATCCTAACCATTAACCGAAATTTCAAGTGGACCTTACATGGAACTTCGTAATACCTGTTACTCTTTGCAGCTGAGTATTTTTAAAGAACTGGGGATAAATCTTTTTAGAGTACCGTAACCTTGTTCATTTACCGGGTATACAAATTCCTCAGGCGGAATCAAATGTAAATTTTCTGGTTTTCCTGAATGTCTGTGTCCATGGACGACTTTCAATAAAGGTGATGTTTCAGAAAGCAAATGTGTTTACCAACTTCCCGTGACGAGCCAGGGGACATGAGCGGCGATGCGACGGGATAGGAGCTGGATCTCTCACAGTACCCTCCTGCAGAATCCTGTTTATGCAAATTTATCAGTACGCTTACAGGCAGATCCTTTGAAGAATGTGCACACTCCGGACAAGAGAAGCTGGGATATGCAGAAACTGAAAAAAGTAGTAATGTACTAAGCGATCTCTTCAGTGCAAGAGTAACCTTTGGTTCCTTATCAAGACATGGCATAGTAGCAAGTCTACACCATGAAGAATGAGTTCATTAAGGCACATCGGAAAGCCTTTCAATTTGCAGATACACAGATAAACAAATACTGAACATAAACACAATAACATGCATAATAAACGTCTTCTTGTTCCATCAACAAGAAAAAAAAATCTTTCAACCACAAAATAGCACTAAAGACAAACAAACCCGAAGACGATCGAAGAGATTATGCAGTCCATGATGTTTGTCCTCCAGATCATTATAATCTCGTCCCTTCTCTTCAATCTCCCTTCGCAATCGTTCAACCTCAGTCTCTAAGGTCTCTGTCTGTCAAAGTCAATTATTCATGCAATTGCAAGGAGCAATTACCAGAATTAAGGACAACGACCAGAAAAAGTAATCAAGAAAACATCCCTATCTCTATATGATTCAGTAATAAAAACATTACATGTTTCGCTTTGTGTCAGGAAGACAGAGAAAACCATATTCTCTGCTACCCTCTTATGAGTAGGGAAATATCGTGCAGGGGAAAGCATAACATGAACCTGTAGTTCAGGAAGGCATTGCTGAAGAAAATGAAGTAGAAGCAATGCTTCATGTACCTTGCTAGTAGCATTCTCCAACTGCTTTGTAAGTGAATCGATTTCTTTGTTCTGCACATACCAACCGTCAAGGAATCATGAAAATCCAGGTTTAACAACAAGCGAACACCAGATTTTACTCGCGTATTGACCGAAGTCCCTTTGAATATGGTGTACCGGGATTCAAATGAAGAATATTGCAACATTTTGATGTGCAATTACGGATCAGTCCGCCCCAAAAAGTGAATTCCAATGAATTGAAGGACAAGTTGCAGCGAAATCTCGAGATCAAATGGAAAAATTCAGCACATTTACTAACTAAAGACGATGATGTAGCATCATTGTCACTGTTGTGATGATGGCAGATTTTAAGAGCAACTCCTGAAGTTCATCCTCAACTGGCAAGCCCTGAGCCTCTACCTCACAAAATTCTGGCTCAGGTAAATTGGCATCTTAAGGAAAATTAGTATTCTCGTGTAAGTAATGAGGGCATACAAATAAGTCCACAGCCTCTGCGTGGTGAGCCTTAAACTCTTGTAGTTGTTCCATGACATCACTGAAAGATTCATCTGCCTGCATCTTTATATCCTTGTCATCCTTAAGGTTGTTTTCCTCCTCTTTGGCGTCTATATTGTCATGGGGCTGCTTATCCTTGTGCTCCTTCAACTGATTCAGTTCCATTAGACAAAAATTCAGAAAAAAATTGCTTCTCACATAGCTTAACGCGTGGATATTAGTTTACAATCAAACTGTTATGTTTAACGAGAGGTTTCAGGTAAAAGGAAGTTTCTTCCAATGATGTTCAATTTAAGCAACTTCAGAGCCCACGACACACGGTTTGTTACATCTTTAGCTTTAATGAAGTATTAATATTTCTCTGTGCTTGTTGAACCATGAGCACTTTTAACACTCTTCTGCAAGGAAATGTACTGGTATGTATGGTGGTAAAGTAGTGATAGAAATGCCTTGTGGATCTGGGATAGATCCAGATATCATCGCAGTGACAGTCTGCTTGGATGCAAGATTCTGGAGCACAGCGTGGACTGATTCTAACCGGTGTAATATTCTGATTCTGTTGTCGAGACGAAGCATCAGCAAGAGCAGCGAGAGCTTTCTGACTTTCACGAGAAGCATCAAGTTGCTTCTTCTGCAATGAACCCAGTCATTCTCACTGAGAGTTACCCAAGTACCGACACATTTATAGCAAAATTCACTCGAGGATGATTGATAACTAATTAATGCAGAACAAGAGAAGCAAACTACGATGAGTAGTCACCTACAAGTGTCTTGCACCTTTCATCAGCGGCTTCAAATTTTTCCTCGGCAAATTTTAGATTTTCAGCGCTCGCCGCCAAACGAGCCTGCACATCTGAAAACTCTACATAATTGCAATTCTTGATATTCCACAATTTCACAACCTACATACTAGTAAGAAAATCAAAGTCAATTGATTACGTTTACTTCATGGACGGTCAGAGGCTACCCACCTCTGCCTCATCAATTTTCTTCTGCCATTTTTGAGTTGCCGCATCAAGTTCCTCTTTATGAGCATCTTCCTTTCTCGCCATAAGACCCTTCAGTTCTGCAAGAATACATGTGATTTGTTTCTCTTTCCGTGAGGATGATACTCTTACGCGCGTTCTTCCGTCCAAACCAGTGTTGTAGGACGCAAGGAAGATACAAATACTCAGTAAAGTTTCTCTGTTCGAGATGTTTAAGCACAATGTCATAGCAATGATCAAATTTGTTCCCAAATTCAATCTTCTACTGTGTAGCTATTTTGTTGCAATCACGACCAGAAACTTTAGAATGCTCATTGCTAGAATTGGTCACATTACAAGAATTTGTACCAGCTTTTGTGGACTCCAGTTCATTTTTAGTTTTTACTTTCAGATCCTCTTTAGACTTGCGCAATCTTTCTATCTGCATGAGATGAGAATGTTAGTAAATAATCACTTAATCTTTGGTTCACTAAACAGTATAACATTAAAGATATATGATAAAACTTGACCGAATCGTGCATAACTATCACAATGTGGCGTTTTCAGACGCAAAGAACATAAATGAACCTCCGTTATTCTCATACAATAACGATTATGATTAATAAACAGAAGACAAAACTTACCTCTTTCTCCAGAACTTCGATTTTCTGCTGACTTGTTTTGTCCACTTCATCTGCTTTGGAATTCTGCTGAAAATCTAACAAAGATACTGTTATCCAATGAACCATGGCAAGCTGCATCTTTAATATGGATATGCAGAATCAAAAAGGACTTCAGGACCAAGACTTCTTTAATAAGAGAGCATTTGTAACATTTTCAGCCGGATGTTAAGGGAAATACATGGCAGTCATTTAAGAACTCCGATTGATGTTTCAAAAGAAAATTCAGCTCACTTTCAAGTCATTTTGTAGCTGGGTGACTTTGTCCTTTAACTCTGTCACCAAACTATCCTTTTCGCGTATCTGTTTCATTCAGTGCCAACATCAACGACAAGGGGTGCTCAGGAATAAAAGAACACTGTCAGAAAGGGCATCCCAGTAACTTTCGATGAGATCTTCATTTCAAAATAAATTAAATCGTAACCGAGGGACATGTAATGATAGGAAGCGACTAAAATGGCAAAAACAGTTGAGTAGAATACAAACATTTCAATGGCAAGAATCGAGAGGAAATTGGTTCGAATAAACTTCGAGAACTTATGCAAAGAACTGTTTTGTGCCTGACGACAACTGCACAAATGTATTCAACACTTCAAATTCCTTTAAACCCTAACCTCTGTTTCTGTAATGGTTCATGTTGGAATTACTCCGCCTATCAAAACAAAACTAACCTGAACGGACAGTTGTTGAATTCTCCCATCGCTCAAAGCGAAAAGCTCACGCTCTCTTTTCTCGAGCATTTGTCGAAACTCACGAGATTCCGTCATTTTCGTTTCCGGCTCATTTTGAGGACGCGCTGGCGATTTGCCTTGACTCATTTCGTTAACAGAGCTATAAATTTATTGTCTCCCGGAGATATGGCAGTAACTATGCCCCTATCCCTTTGTTTCAAGGTAAACACGCTCCGTCTCCCCGAATGCAATCAGAACTGTGTGAATATCTGCGAATTGAGTCACATAATTCTCACACAATGCTATTCAATGCAGCATTCGATGCGCATTCTTCAGTTTTGTCGAAACTCACGAGATGCAGAACATCATCCTGTCAGCCCTCACTAACGGATTCTCATTTGAAATAAACATCTTTAGTTACTTCAAAAACACAAATGCGAGATAATCTTTGTAATTACGCGGACATCCAAGCTTTACTACGTGCCGGTTCCTCTCTACGATCATATTCATCCCTGAATTCTAGAATAATGCATTGTTCAAGTGATGATTCTATTATGCTCAACTTGATCGAACTGCCTCAATCTTGGACAATTTTGTCGATAGCGGTTGGTATCAGTTACAAAATAGAGATTATCTGTTCATCACTAGTGACAATGAACTCCGATTTTTTCGTATCCATCATAATCCGCTTCCCTTCTACTCATCGACACTACTCAAAACTGTCAAAAGTTCCGAAAGAATAATATACTACGCTCCAACTCCGCAAAAGTTGAGCTCCCACAATGTAACCTATTAAAAACGTATACTATACAGCAAATTGGTATTGAGAAGACCTTGAAAGCCGCCATGGTATACATATATTGGTGTTGCTGGATTCACGTTCAGGTCCCAATCGAGATATCTACAGAAGTTTCGGGCTAGATACCGAATTCTGCCTTCAATCAACTCTCTAGGGAGTAAGACTTTAACAGATCCTTCAAAATACAATTACCGAGTTGGAATCCTCATGATGGACCATGTGGTTACACAGCGAAGAATACGACATTGATTTGCACTCACTAAATTCTGGGAGGAAAGAGATGGAGACTTGGGCAAGGAGCATCTCAAATGCCAGATTGAAGCGCAGTAGACAAACACAAACAAGTTGCTTAACGGAAACAAAAGTGGAAGCCTGTTGAGGCTCCAACGACAGGTAGCAATGTGAATCGGAAGTAGCAGACATAGACACTTGAGACGTTTCTGGTAACCAAATTTCAATGTAATTGAAGGCGAAACTGCAACAAAATGCTGATAGAAATATGCAACAAGGTCATCAGGTGCCACCAGCTCTAGGAAGCATTTGCAGGATCAACAAGATTCTCTTGCTGTGCTACTTTTGAAGCAAATGAGGTCTAACTACTGAAACAACACAAACCCACTAACCAGGGCCTTGACAATGCAAATACGGCTCTTTCTTCATGACTCTGCCAGCGTCAGTCGACTTCCAATACCTGAATTTCAACATAACATGTACACGGCTACATTTCTCACCTCTATTATCTAATCATATGTGGTTGCAGAAGTCAGAGAGACTAACCATGCAGCAAGAGTTAGATAACCAACAAGCTTGCTGGTATCCTACTACTACAACCTTCTCGTTTTAGTCGATTGAACGCCATAGTACTTCATGTACCAGGTCACAAATTTCTTAAGACCTGTATCCAAGTTCGTCGTTGGTTTGTATCCCAGCTGAGTCTGAGCAAGGGACACATTGGCGTGTGTAAAAGGAACATCCCCGTTACGGGGCATTTTTATAAATACCTTCTTAGCGGGCACTTTGAGGTACTTTTCAAGGATTTCTACAAGAACTGGCACAGAAACTGGAGACGTGTTACCAAGGTTGAAAGTGCGGAACAGCGCGGCACCCCTCTTCTTGCCTCCACTTCCAGTGCTTCTACCTGCAGTATCCAATGATGCAACACAACCTTTCACAATGTCGTCAATGAAAGTGAAATCCCTTGCTAAATCCCGATCATTCTGACCCTTGTAAATGTTGATTTCCTTTCCCTTCAAAATGTCCCGCGTGAAGGAAAAGTAAGCCATATCTGGGCGACCCCAAGGACCATATACGGTAAAAAAACGAAGTCCTGTGATGGAAAGCCCATAGATGTGGTTATAAGTGTGGGCCAGTTCTTCTCCTGCTTTCTTTGTGGCAGCATACAGACTGGCAGGTTGATCTGTACGGTCAGCTTCTGAAAAGGGAACCTGGAAAACAAAAAAGAGGGCAGAAAAGTGTCAGAAACAACACCATTCAAAAGAACATGATCCTTTTATACTGGTAATCTACGATTAACCATATATCAGAAATAAAATCATGTGCTTCACGATGAAAACAGCAATACCTTTGAGTTCAAACCGTAGACAGAGCTTGATGACGCCCAAACAACTGCTGGCTGAGGATTGGCATTCTTACAAGCCTCAAAAAGAGTGACGAGGCCTGCGATATTACTGTGGATATACGACATGGGGTTCTGCATCGCATATCGAACACCAGCTTGTGCTGCTAGATGCATAACGTGCGTGAACTGAACCTTGACAAATAAATGCTTCAAAAGTGCAGCGTTGTTGATGTCATCTTCGATTACGAAGATACCTTGCTTTAGCAACAACTCTTGTCGAGCTCTTTTCAAAGAAACTTCGTAGTAATCATTGAAATTATCAATGCCCACGAGACCATCTCCACGTTTCTTCAAAGCAAGTGAAACATGACTCCCAACAAAACCTGCCGCACCGGTCACAAGGACAACCAATCCATTCTCACGCTCTGGTGTGCAAGACTGAGCCACTTTCAGGTCCCAGGCATGGTCGCTCTTGAAAGCTGGTAGAAGTGTTCCACCATTGGTGCTGGAATAGGCGGAAGTGATGTACCCATCAATCATACCATTTCCAGTAATGCGGAAGCAAATGAAGATTGTGATAACAAGAAGGAACACAGAAAGTGCAAAAAGCTTCGCTGATGCAGATGTGTGCCAGCGACTCGCTGCTCGTCCGAAGAAGTTGTTGCGCTCCATTTTACCCTGCAGGACTCAAAACCATCAAACTAAGGTTTTATGAACAAAAGTTGTAATCATGGAAAGTTTTGTCTGGACGAAACTCAAATAATCGCAATTGTAAATCTAAGTTGAAAGTCTTCAGATCCGAAAGCAACCTACACAAGTGGGAAAAACGGTGATCGGTTTACAATCATAACGACTGCAGTCACCAGGGTGCTAACCTTGCCAGGAGTTGATGGAAAATCCTCTTGTACTGAAGGAGCCATTAGGACTTGTGATAACGAAAAACGTACTTAAAATCTCAGGACCTGTTTTGATTACAATCGGACTTCTTTATCAACCGTCCAACTGCAAAAAGAAAAATGAGAAGAAGCCCTGAGCACAGCAAAATAATAATAACAATGTAATAATCAAACAAAAAATAAAATTAGCACGCTACACATAAAACTTAGCACCTAAAGTAGCAAGCTTGGCAGCAGACTGGCAAAAAACGGAGAAAACGAACATGAAACCCCACATACTTCGTCACAAACAGAAACAGAAAATGCCGGTTCATAAGTCTTACATTTATCAAGAGAAGAGGCACAAAGATTTACACTACAACACGAATGAAACAGCCTTGCAGATGTAAATTGAGACATAGCGCATACACCAAAGAGTCTACGGCGTTTCCCCTCATAAACACGTGAATTCCTCGTTCAAATTATATCCAGTTAAATGTAGCTTCTCCTCCTTTCTGCACTAGTTTAGAAACTGGTGACCAACTACACTTCAGCTCAAAAATGAAAGATAGCATAGAAAACCCGAAATAATATCCATGTAGTTTCAAAACGTTCGTCAATTCCAGGATGATACAATACTTGAGGGCAGAGATGAGTTCTGCAATGCTTCCCAAAGACCTAGACGAAACATTCGTGTTGTGCCACCCGCCCTGATGGAAACAAGGTAATCTACCCACAACGAATGGTGATCACCGATATCCACAAGATGAAATTCAGCGCGCATACGGTTGGACGGTTGACATGCAAAAGGTGCTTCATCTCTTCAGTATAATGTCAGTCATGTGACACAAAGTGTGACTAAAAGTTGGCCAGTTCTTAACAAACCGCGTCCCAAGAGCTCCTGTTATTCGGAAATAGGATACTCTGTGAACAGAGAAAAAAATGTGTCCGACTTTCTTCGCTATGAGTATTCTTCGATCGCAAGACATGCAAAAGCAAAAGAGAGTGCCGACGCTAGTAAAGTACTGAAAATGCTAATCTTTAAAACACCTTCCAGACAAAGTACTTTTACGGGGCATTCAGTCCGAGAGCGGAGTCAAGATAGTCTTTTGGAAAATGACTGTGCAGAGATTCAGATTCACTAGGATATACGAAAGGCCACACCGTCCCAAAGCAGTGATAGGCACGAAACTGCTGTCAAATCAAAGAAGCCCTCTAACGCGACATTTACAGACCGGTTCCACACAAGAAAGTAATCAATGCAGAATCCTGGAGATGTAGCCTCAACGTTAAGCATTCCAATTAACGAAAGGGTTCAAAAAATCCACAAGATCAACCTTGGAAGAGCAAGGACAGGTTGCAACTTGTACGAAATCAAGACACTTCGAAAATACAGGCCAAACAACGAAGTGGCAATGGAGAAACAAACAGAAACAAACCTGGTTCGCAAGACCGACGCCAAAATGATACAGGCGAAGGGTGTGAACTTCGTCAGAGCCGCGCGAAAGCTCCTCAAACTCCACACAGGTGCGACCACACCGTCGGACGGTCGGTCGGCCAATCACCTGAAGATTCGACCACACAGACTCGCATTCACATTCACTATCTGCTCGGTGAAACCCTGAGGGTTCTCAACGCGCGCACGCGCACCCCAAGGTCCCACCAACACCCATCAATCACAGAAACTAACGCTTCACGCCAATGTTTCTCCACATTCTCAAACTCCAACCCACGCGCACCTCTCTCCACTTCCCCTCCCTCTTGTGCGACAACTGCTCTACCATACACCAGACAGCAATTTCTAACAGAACGAAAAAAAAGGAGATCTACAAATCAACACGCACCGACGAGGATCCAACAGAGTCTGCCCTCCCTTACACACAGAAACAAACACACACAGAAACATGCTAACGCGGGATGATATCACGGAGAACTCAGCCCCTTGGGATTACCTCGGTTGTCCTCCCACAAAACACCTCTGTGTCCTCCTCTCACGCCATATAAGCTCCCTCTCTCACTCACACTCTGTCACTTCCTGTGAGATGCACTTTGGCTCTGCGATCACGCGCAAGCTGCACTAAACTGGATCCTGCGTTTGCGCTCCGATTCCAACTCAATTCCGTTTTTCCGTAATAGGAATAGTAAAAAGGGAACTCGCGGCAACGCCATCAAAATCCAATTTACGCAGCATCAGCATCATCTGGAGCCGAACGAAGGAAGAAAGAAACGAAGGCCTCCAAGTCCACCGAGGACGCACTCGCAACGCAACGAGGCAAAAGGAAAGGAGGAGACCGACCCTACCATAGCCAACCAGGGCTAGGTGACCTGGCCCTAAACCCGAGGCTGAAACTTTCTCCTGCCCGCTGCTCCCTGCCCATCCTCAATCCCTGCCGTGTCCTGTCCGTGGTGAACTGTCACCAGCCAGAGTGTGTGACTGGTGGCCCTGGACGCGCCGCACGGGGTTCGCTACGGCTGGAATCCGTCGAGCCGCGTCATCACCGGGTGGGGCTGGGCGACAAGATTCCGCAAGGAATCTGACCTGGGGATGGGAAGTGCTTTCGTTGACTACCTCTTCTTTATTCTTTTATAATCCAAATGTATTCTAAGCTAATGTTTATAAATTTCTGGTTTTTGAAAGTAAACTATTATTATTATAATAAGCTCATATTACTTTGGAATTTTTTCTTTCTTAAAATCAAACACTTATAAATAAATTCATTAAAGTGTAGTTTGTAATGTTTTTTTTTTTTTTTTTTTTTTTTTTCAGTGTTTTCAGTAGGTAAAAAATCGTTTTTAGAGTGTTTGGTGATTCGGAAATACAGATAAAGTTATGGAAAATGTTTTTTTGAATAGTAGTAATTATAAGAATAATGGTTTTTAAGTACTTCGCAAATTTTAAACTTAGTGGTTAAGTGGGTTTTTAGAATTAAAGTACTAGCTTGCATATATTTAAGATGATTTTTTTAGTGTTACTTCAAAAATTTGTGCATCCAAATGTCAGTTTCAATCACCTTCACAGAATATTAATCTCTGTTATTTATGAATATTATTCAAAATAGTGTATCTGTAAACACAGTTCACATTCTTTGTGTGTGTTTATGGAAAGTTCAATTTTGTTTACAGTCTGTTAATTGACAATGATAGAATTAATAACTTGGCTTTAAAATTTAAACCAAACAGGCAGTAACGAATAAATTCTAAATATTATAAATAAATCAATGCAATGGATATCTGAAATACATATTTTCAGGAGAGGAGAGTGATAATAAATGAATAAATAAAATGTGCATGCAAGTTGATTGATAAATTATATTCATGATCTTTACAAAAAAAAAAACACTCTCTTTACATCAATAAGAATTGTGTATGTATGTAAAATTTATTGTAACAATTTTTTTAAAAAAATTAGCAAAATGCCATATAAAATATCATAACTACAAATAGAATTGACAATACTGAAATAGCACCATATAATTTTAACTAAACACAAATAAATTTCAGTATAATAAAAGATTGAAATTCCAATGTTAACAAGAAATATAAGAATGATTTCAATAATCTTTTTTTAGTACACTACACAAATTTAAAGTCTATGATTATAGTATATCAATATGTTCTTGAACTATAAAAATGTGCTGTAATTATTCAATGAAATGACGTTTCAAATTTAAATTAGAATTATTTTTTTATCTATTTGGTGGTATAATATTTCTTCCACAAGAATTATCCTTCAAGTGAGAATGTTTTATACTATTACATTTTAAGAATAGTTTGATATAATGTTTTATATGTTATGCTCCATTTGTTTATCAATTTGAGGATAAAAGGCAAAGATATTTTTATGTTCATCTTGAAAATCTTAAAAAAGAATTTCTAAAATCTTGATACAAATTGAATCCTTCTATCCAATATAACATCTTTGAATAATCTATAATAAGAATAGATGTTGTCAATGAAAAGCTTAGTTGTTTCTTTACTTATGATAGATTTTCTATATTGTACAAAATATACCATCTTGATAAAACAATCTACTATCACAAATATAAAATCATAAGAATTTGAAGTTGGAAGATTTTTAATAAAATCTATAGAAACACAAGACTATAAATATTTTTGAATATATAATGGCTAAAAAAACCCATAAGATCAATGATGGAGAGTTTTTGATCTTAAAAAAACATCACATGATTGTACAAAGTCTTTAATTGCTTTCCATATTTGAGGCTATTAAAAATCTTTAAATATTAGTTCTAAAATCTTATTATATTCAAAATATTATATTTTTAGAAAGTTATGAGAAGCTTGAAGAATACATAATTATACTTTGACTTTTAGAATATATAACTATTTCTTGAAATAGAATTGATTATTCTTGAACTCAAACCTAGAAGTACCATGAGATTTAAAAAAATTATTTTTAATATCATGAATAATAGAATCAAAGAAAATACTTGGTTGAACTTACTTGAGAAAGTTTGAATCAATAGTCAATGTTGATTTTATTTTTTAAAAAATAAAAAATGCTTCAGCTTCAAGAGAATTCATTTTTTTAACTCAAAAGCTACATCCCTTTCTTTTTATACAAGATAAGAATGTCTAGATATGACTTCTAACAAACCTTATTGTTTTTTAATTTTGTGTGGTGACACAACTATATGATGAAAGAGGAAAAGAAAGATTATATTATAGATGAGCTTAAATGAAAATAATTTAGCAAATTATCTTAGAAATATAAATGATAGACAAGGAGGTAGTAAAAATTAATAAATGCTAATACCACTTTCTTGAAGTAGAGTTTTATACATACTTTGTAAGAGCATAAGTGAACCAAATCAAAATAAACAAAATAAATAGTTGATATAGGCATATTTAGGAAGGAGTTAAGAACACATTTAAACAAAAATCACCTCAAAATATGAAGAATTGATATTTGAAGAGGATTAGTTCTAAATCAAAGTCAAAATTGGATCCTAAGGCACAAAACCATACATCCACCGTAACTTTAGGGTTCTTTGGTTGATCAAAGGTTTGAGGTTTAAAAGCAAACTTGTAGAAAGATTTTTGAGATTTTATTTTATGTAATTTGATAGTATATTATGGTTTTGAAAGCTTTTCAAAATGAAAGATGTATTCAATGGGTTTAGATTTTGAGAAATAAAATGAAGTTCTTAAATTTGAGAATTTTGTGAATATCATAGTATATTTATAGATAAAATTTTGTTAATCTATAATTATTTTTATTTTTAATAATTTAAAAAATATATATATTAATTGAATTATTGGATTGAAAATTTTGAAAGTGTATGTGAGTTATGATCTTAGATAATTAAAATTTAGTATCAACGAGGATTTTTATGATCTTGCAACATCTGTAACTTCAATTGAAGCACAAATTTTTGAAAGCAACATAGACTTAGAAATCTACACATTAAGTAATTCTTGAAGCAATTTCATAACTTAACAAGGAGAATGTGTTGTTGAAAAATCAACACTTAAGTTAGAGAAGGAGAACAACCAATATTGTAGAAGTTTTGGAGAACTTTTCTTTCAATTGGTGAGTTTAATTTTCCTCAAATTTTGTATACTTATTAATTTCTTGTGGATTGAAATATAAATGAAATTTTAGTTAACTTTAATAATTTTATTAATATCTATTAAAAATTGAAAATAACTTTAAAAAGTGATTAAGATTTATTTAAAACTTTTTTGAATTATTTAAGTTTTATTTAGGATTTGATTTAGAATTTAGAATTTGAATAAGATTTTATTAAGATTTTATTAAGATTCAATTACAATTTGATTAAAATTTGGTCTAAAATTTGGTTAAGATTTGATTAAAATTTCATTAAATTTTATTAAGATTTGATCTTCAATTTATTCAAGATTTAATTATAATTTTTATTAAAATTTTGTTAGGATTTATTTAAAATTTTTAGAATTTCAATAGGATTTGATTAAGATTATATCAAGATTTGGTTAGGATTTATCGAGGATTTATTTGAAATATTTATTTTATGTATTTTAAAATATTTTATTATTATTTTTTAAATATATTTATTTTTAGTTTATATTTAAGATTAATATTATTTTTTTAATGATTTTATTATTTTTTTTGAGATTTATTTATTATTTTTTTTAAAAATAATTTATAAATTTTTTATATTTCTTTTTTAAATTATTTATATTTCTTTTGAATTGATTAAATTTTAATTAAGATTATTAAAGATTACTTAGAATTTAATTAAGATTTTATTAAACTTGATAAAATCTTGTTATTGCATTTTTTATTTATCTTCCATACCTAAGTGCTTGATGCATTCTCAAGCAAGAATTCATGTTACATGACACCATGTCTTGAAATAAAATCTTGATAAAAACATGCTTCAATGGTCTTAGTAACAATTCAAAATATGTACTACCATAAAATACTTGAGATTCTAGTAATCACTATATAAGGTAGTTGGATTAAAAGTGCCTTCTATATAATGATGTCATTCTTGAAATAAATTTATGATCGTAAAAATATCTTTATTGTGGATCTTGGAGTTGTTCTTAGCAATTAAAAAAAATTTAGAATAGAAAGCTATTACATAGGACTTCTTATTTATTTCCATTTATGATAACATTATATTCTTAGCAAACTTTAACGTGTGTGTTTTCATAAAGAATACATTGGAAAAGTTGACAAGATACAAGATTGGTGTAAAAATATTTATTATCTTTAAGACTTTAAAATATGCTTCAATTTTTTTGCTCTAATCAAGTTTGTCTTTATATGTTAAATGTATAAAAAGAGGAGCAACTTGAAAAACATCTTTAATGAAGATCCGATAATAATTGGCATATGTTAAAAAATATTTTACATCTTTGCTTATTTTTGGGATCTTTCAATCCATAATAGTTTGAACCTTCTTAAGATCCATCATAAAGCTATCACTTAAAATAGTATATCCTTAAAAATTAAATTATGTAGTGTGAAATATATACTTTTTTTTATCTTGGCATATAATCTTACATCTCTTAATTTTTGTAATACATAAAAAAAAAAATATATATAATATTTTATATTTTTTGAATAGATTCAAGTATTCTTTACATAATAAATAATAAAATCTTCAAAAAACTCACAATAGATATTATTAATTAGATATTAAAAAGTAGTTAATATATTTGTGAATCCAAAAGACATGCCATTATATTCAAAATATTCATATATGATTTAAAATATAATTTTTTATTCATTTCTTTCTTTAATAC